GACAGATTGCAATTCGAATATCTTTTTGTTTTTAGTCTTGTGCTAATACCATTTCATACAATTTGCCAATTTTGCACACAGACGTATTTGCTTTCCCTTTTCAAGGTAGCCCCTAGACAGCCGCGAAAAGAATTGACAAATCAATACTCATAATCTGAAGCATTCACTCATTTTAATTCATACGAAGTGAAGCAATCGCTAATAGTCAAACAAAAGCAAACAGGTTAAAGAGCAATGCTTTAGCAAATGATTTCCAGTAAAAGCCTTTGCTTCATTTTGATTTATATTGATTCGAACAAATGCTTAATTCAAAAATTGCCAGAAAAGTAACTGCTACTTTTTATACATACAACTCATTATCATGCTTGAATAACTTACAGTTATGGAAAAAAAAAAGATTCAACGAAGTTTAATGATTTTCATGAAATGCCTTACGATGTGAAGGATAAACCGTAGCATTTCAAATTGGTATTTGGGGTTTTTGAAGTATTTTAAGCCATATGTACCATATTATATTAAATTCATATTGCTGAACTGCTCTTTCAACTTTGGTGAGTGAACCTAAAATACATTAAATCAACCACTGACTTTGTTTTACATAGAAAAAAGAGATAACTTTATGCATTATGTTAAACCCGTATACAATCGTTACATTTGCTGTACAGGGTGAATAAAAAAAATGCAACAAATATATCACGGAATGCCAGACGTAGGATATGTAACCAACATAGATACTACTTTAGGTATAGTTTGAAAGAGACACCTTTCCACTTTAAAATGAGAAATAAAACGTCCAAATCCGATCGTTTTGACAGAATTATGAGTAATTTTCCTAGAGAGGTCAAATTAACCATGTGATCAAGCAATACATTTTATGCATTGGGACAAAGGTAGCCTCATTGCTTTTTTTGTGGATATTTGCCTGGTCTACACAAACTGTATTTAGCGAGCAAACACAATTCTAAACACTTTCTTGCTATCACCTCATGCTTAACATACATCGCATGTAAACAAGTTTGATAAACTGATAGCAACAATTGTGTTAGTTTTGTGCTAACTCGCTAAACTCGCATATTATTATCGACACAGAGGCGATTAGGCTACCTTTGTATGATTATTCATACAAGGTAGCCTAAGCGCCTATTTGTCGATCAGTTATACACACTGTATAGGCAAGACCGGCGTAAATTATTCTTTTTATGGTCAAAATGAACACTTTTGGGATTTAAATCATACAGAAAATGATCCTGAGCAGTGTCACTTTGACCCCTCATTCGCTTCTTGGGCTTCATCAAGTCCATTCGTTTTATTAAGCTATTTTCAAAGGTCCATATTAATTTTTCGTAATTGTTAGTGCTATCAATCTAGTTTTGCTGTGTAATGCTTGTCTAAAAAACAGATCACATAAGGCCGAGTAAAAAAAAAAATAGTTTCTCGTCCGGGGTTTTTGAAAAAAGGGAGGAGGCGGGGCTTTTTATTTTTTATTTTTTATTTTTTTCAAGATGACCGCCTTTTCAAAAATTCCTGCAACCGTTGGTGTTCCACTGTTCAAAGACACTTTTAAAGATGAAAGACAAGTTGGACAAGAGAACTGAACATACTTACAGTGTCATTTAGAGTTGTATTGGTATTGGTATTTATTTTCCGATGAATTTGTAGACTTTTTCGGTGTGTTTCTACTAAATTTTTCAAAAATAAAAAATAATACAAAAATCCAGGCGGCCTCCAAAAAGGAAGCGGGCGGGGACGAGAAACTTGTTTTTTTTTTTACTTCGCCTAACAGTGTTTTGTACTGTTCAGTGTAGACCAAATTGTGTATGTCTTGACTTGTTTTTAGTGGTGGTAGCGTTCAATATTTAAATAAAAAACAAGAATCGAATCAACCTGAATTGAACTGTATCGCGTCTAGTATGCTGACTGTCTGCAATGAGTTTTTTCTTTTCAAGGCGAAACCCCCGTACATTTGATAGAACTGTTTTTAGTTCACCGACTATGTCCTCATCTAATCACAGTACATTTTGACACAACGTCATCCCCAGGGGTAATTTGTCCACCTTGTTTGGGCCGTAGTGCCTAATTCCTCAACAAAATCGGAGTTATCTGTATCAGTGAATGCAGTAGACCAGAAACCATAAGTCACTAACTCATGACTAGGAAAGAAGAAGCATACTTCAACCCGAACGAGTGCTGTGTATCATGTACCATAATATCTCATTAAGGCAAAAATGTAGCCCCATCCCTAAATCCATACAAATAATTAAAGTTGCCTCAGTAATGAAAAAAAATAACCTTTCCATTGCAAAAAGAGTAAAGAAGCACACGATAATGATGATCACCTTCCCAATTGACCGCCAATAATCGGTATGTATATACCACTCAGCTTGACAACTTTCCTTGGGCAGCCATTACTTTTTAGAATAGAGTACAGCTAACATTTACATCCACCGTATGCTTTAAGATACCAAACTTGTTTTATTTTCTCAGTGCAGTTGGATATAAATGCATGATGATCCGATCCTTGGTTAAATAAATTTGTCAACAACATGATACAGGTGTGTTGTTAGTTGTTCCCATATAAAATCATTATCCCAAACAGACATTTCTAAAATTTGGATGAATTGTTTTTTTTTCATCAAAAAGATCCTACAGTAAACTACCATGTATTTCCCCCGCACTATTTTGGAGTTTGACAAAGAGAAGCAATTAAATACTTACTCCACAGCCTGCAGGATTTGGTAGTTGGGTAAACCGTGTATACAATCGCTCAATAGGGAGTACATAATGGACCAATTCTTGGTAAAAACGTTCATTTGCCTATTGTCTTTTAATACCCAACGTTTTGGGCAACGGGAGAAATATGGAAATATGCAGGTAAAACATACGGGGAAGGGAGTTACAACCGCACAGGAGAAATAGTAAGCACAAAAGCAAATAAATATATAATATATATATTTTACTTAAAAAAAAGGAGGTAGCTGATCATGATTATGCGAGTGTCATCAGTTAACTTAGCTACAAAGATGAATACATGTTATGTTTAACCCCGCACAAAGGGAGGCCATCTTTAATACTGTAAAATATGGAAAACTTGCACATGTTAATAATGCATTGTCATGCACAAATGAGGGGCTTCAATGCACAATCGGGACATCGTTAAATGGCATATTTGCAAATTAAGCGTCTTGCCATATGGACATTACTCCATGTAATGAATAAAAGACGATGGCGGTTTTATAGGCGATGGCGGTTTCTATATAGCTGTGTCTGCTCTACGTGCATTACTTCGATCGACTAAATTAAATAGTTCGAACACAATCAATGTATTTTTTTTTTTTATTTGTACGAAGTGAATTCATATAAACAACAGTCTATACGATAGCTGTATATCTTTTACAAGAATCTACTGTACGTACGTTACTTTGATCGACTAAATCAATCAGTTAGAACCTAATCAATTATTTTTTTTATATTACATCAAGCGATATCATATCAATAAAGTAGTATGTACAACCACTTTATATCTTCTGCATTTGTACAAGGATCTGCTCTAAGTCCGATCGATTCAAATGTTTAGTTAGAGCACAATCAAATTATTACAACACAAGGGAAGATCCGATCTACGCCCTTTCAAACGAGTATGCTAACTGTCATCATATCTGATTTTGAAATAGGTACACTTATAACCAACTTCATCGAAAAGACGGTTTTGTATTTACAATTGGGCCAAAAGTATCACATCCGTCGGTGAACAGATGTTAAAAGTGTTGGGAAAATACAGGGTAAGTAAAAAAAAAACGAAACCCGAATGTTGGGAACGTTGTTTAAGAGAAGTTCTTCATGTACCATTTTTAAAATCTAGGATATAAAAGTCCAAATCATAAGATTTTTTCTAATACAAGAATAATTCAAATCACTTTTTATGTACTTTTCAAGTTTCGGAATTTTAAACACAACCACCGTTTTAAAATTCTGTCCACGGATCGCAAAAATAGTTCAGTGTTCTTTCAGCAAAACAAAAACAATTTTTTTTTGCTCACCCTGTATTACCTCTAGGCCTACATTAATTACCACCAGCTAGGTCATGAAACTCCAGTTTTATTTATAATACGAAAGCATAGGTTCTTGGCGTAAAAAAGGCATCGAATTTAGAGACCTATATGGATTTATTTTGCCACTCAGCTGGACAACTTTCTTTGGGCAGCCATTACTTATTAGAAAAGAGTACGGCTAACACTTACGTCCACCGTATGCTTTAAGATACCAAACTTGTATTATTTTCTCAATGCTGTTGGATATAAATGCAAGGGGATCTGATCCTTGGTTAAATAATTGCGTCAACAACATGGTACAGGTGTTGTTAGTTGTTCCCATATAAAATCATTATCCCAAACAGACATTTCTAAAATTTTGATGAATTGTTTTTTTTCATCAAACAGATCCTACAGTAAACTACCATGTATTTCCCCCGCACTATTTTGGAGTTTGACAAAGAGAAGCAATTAAATACTTACTCCATACCCTGCAGGATTTGGTAGTTGGGGTAAACCGTGTCTACAATCGCTCAATAGGTAGTACATAATGGACAAATTCTTGGTAAAAACGTTCATTTGCCTATTGTCTTTTAATACCCAACGTTTTTGGCAACGGGAGAAATATGGAAATATGTGGGTAAAACACACGGGGAAGGGAGTTACAACCGCTCAGGAGAAATAGTAAGCACAAAAGCAAATAAATATATAATATATATATCTTTCACTTTCAAAAAAAGGAGGTAGCTGATCATGATTATGCGAGTGTCATCAGTTAACTTAGCTACAAAGATGAATACATGTTATGTTTAACTGCGCACAAAGGGAGGCCATCTTTAATACTGTAAAATATGGAAAATTTGCACATGTTAATAATGCATGGTCATGCACAAATGAGGGGCTTCAATGCACAATCGGGACATCGTTAAATGGCATATTTGCAAATTAAGCGTCTTGCCATATGGACATTACTCCATGCTCCATGTAATGAATAAAGACGATGGCGGTTTTATAGAGTTTGGCTCTCAACAACAGAGAAAGATTTCAAATAACCCTGTCGGCTATACTCTGCCATTCTGTGTAGATGACACGAACTACCTTCCGAGGGTCAGCGTAACGCGTCTTTTATGATTCCGCCAGGCTGAACTAAAACACCGTACTTGGTTGCTGTGGCAATAGGCACATCGCTGAAATTGAAGTAAGTTACCAATACAATTTGGAAGGACTACAAACTTCCTTTTTTTTTATCTTGAACGGATCTTGCGAAATCCTATCAAAAGTCGTTTCTATATAGCTGTATCTGCTCTACGTGCATTACTTCGATCGACTCAACTAAATAGTTCGAACATAATTAATATATTCTTTTTTTTAATGTGTACGAAGTGAATTAATATAAACAACAGTCTATACGATAGCTTTATATCTTGTACAAGAATCTACTTTACGTACGTTACTTTGATCGACTTAATCAATCAGTTAGAACCTAATCAATTATTTTTTTTATATTATACCAAGCGATATCATATCAATAAAGTAGTATGTACAACCACTTTATATCTTCTGCATTTGTACAAGGATCTGCTCTAAGTCCGATCGATTCAAATGTTTAGTTAGAGCACAATCAAATTATTACAACACAAGGGAAGATCCGATCTACGCCCTTTCAAACGAGTATGCTAACTGTCATATCTGATTTTGAAATAGGTACACTTATAACCAACTTCATCGAAAAGACGGTTTTGTATTTACAATTGGGCCGAAAGTTTCACATCCGTCGGTGAACAGATGTTAAAAGTGTTGGGAAAATACAGGGTAAGTAAAAAAAAAACGAAACACAAATGTTGGGACCGTTGTTTTAGAGAAGTTCTACATGTACCATTTTTAAAATCTAGGATATAAAAGTCCAAATCATAAGAATTTTTTTAATACAAGAATAATTCAAATCACTTATGTACTTTTCAAGTTACGGAATTTTAAACACAACCACCGTTTTAAAATTCTGTTCACGGATCGCAAAAATAGTTCAGTGTTCTTTCAGCAAAACAAAAACAAATCACATAAGGATGTGTGTGAATTGTTTTCGTTTTGCTGAAAGATCAAGAGCGCGCACCTTTTTGGTGATCCGTGGACAGAACCTTAAAACGGTGGTTGCGTTTAAAATTCCGTAACTTAAAAAGTACATGAGTGATTTGAATGATTCTTGTACTACAAAAAGCTCATGAATTGAACTTTTATATACTAGATTTTGAAAGTGCTACATGCAGAACTTCAATAAAACAATAGGCCCGACATTTGGGTTTCGTTGGTTGTTTTTTTACTCACCCTGTATTACCTCTAGGCCTACATTAATTACCACCAGCTAGGTCATGAAACTCCAGTTTTATTAATAATACGAAAGTATGGGTTCTTGGCGTAAAAAAGCCATCGAATTTAGAGACATTACGGATTTATTTTGCCATTTGCCTTCGAAACGGCGCTATATCTGTGTATCAGAATATCAATATTAAATCATATATACGAAGTAAACTACAAACTAAATAACATTGTGTAAAGGATATTTAACTTAAATAAGGTTTGAGAAGAAATGAGGGTTAGCGATTGCTATTAACTGCTACCAGTGAAACGTTATCTGATAGTTCTACATTATTTCTTTGACTGCTGCTACCGAGTCTGTACTATGTCGAGATACCTATAATTATATACTTTCATTATTTGATGCACATATCCCAACCTTGCAATACAAATCTTGAGGTCAGCGTAAAATTCAAATGTGCCTCATGCAGAGTAAAGGAACATGCACATGATGCCAACGCAGATTAGTGGCTTGTCATATGTCAGTATTTTACACAGAGCTTTAGCAATACTCGGTGGAAAATGTTTTATATTTTGTATACTACTTTTCAGACATTGAGATAGCGGAAGATAGCGAGATAGCGGAAGAGAAATCAAATTTCTACACAACTGGTAAGCGGACGAGTTTTTCCCCTTTAAATGTATTACGTCTACAAACTAAACAAAGACATTGCAATCAAATTAATTATAAAATAAGGCCGTTGTTGTCATGACAGCTGGTGTTTAAAGTGTCACCAAACGATATGGAAACCTAATATCGTCATAATGTGTTTTTTTGTCCACTTCAATGTAGCGCGTAGTATCAGAAAGAAATTCACTGCATCATGGCTGACAGTTTTATAACTGCGATGAAATACTCCATGACCGTTGGCTGTGCAGTAGCCATAGTCGAGAATCTCCTTGTGATTGCAGTGTTTGCTGGAACTAAACGGCTCCGCCTCAAATACTACGCATTCATCTTCAACTTGGCCCTGGCTGACCTCCTGTTTGCCATTGCAGGACCAACCATTCCTTGGATTGAGTCTATTGTTTCTGAATGCCTTACTACCGCAGCCTACACGGTGTCAGTATTAACTATTTTCTCTGCTGCTATCAATCGTTATCTAGCCCTGTCCATTATGCCACCGGCTCGATACGATTCACTGGTGACTGGGTATCGTCTGATCGGAGTTTGCATCCTTCTTTGGTTCTTTGGTCTTGCCTATGGCTTAATGTTATATCTCATATCTATATCTGACCCCGATGTTATCGTCGTAATACGCACTTTTGGTTACTCACTGGTAGCGTTTATAATTTGGGTTATCACTGCGCTTGCTTATTTCTTGGCTTTCCGTAAGATCAAACAGTATATTCCCCCTCTTGCATCCACGGCAGGTATTAGTGCCAATATGGAACGAGACCAAACCCGGGTCCAGCAGACTCGTCGTTTATTAATTCTGTTTGTTCTCATTCTTATGACGTCATTCTTTTCTTGGATGCCGTATGGCATTCTTTCGTTGATTACCCACTTCAAACCAAACCTTTTTTATGATATAACTGTCTTGGCATTGATTTGGCTTGGTGCCTTGCTTTACACTCTGTCTACTGTAATCAATCCTTTGCTTTACTGGTGGCGTCTAGATGGTTTCAAAGAGGGTTTTTATGCAATGTTCTGTCGTTGTGTCATCAAGGCAGAACCAAGAGAAACTGAAATTGTGATGTCTCAAAATGAAAATACAGTGGCAGATACAAGTTTGTAAACGTATGAGAGAGTACGAAACAAAAAGTAAGAATATATCTATTTTAAGTGTGGTTGAGGGAACACTTTTGTGATGATCGAAACACATATAAATTTTTTTGTGATTTGACGAATATCCCAATTGTTATTTTGACTTTTTAAGTAGTAACTTATAAACAAATCATCATTGTAAATATTTCTTATGGAGTTCTTTTGTGATTGGACTTTTTGAAAAAGTAAAGTCTGTTATTAAAATTGATAATTTGGGGTGACCCACCCTGCAATATTAAGGGAATACATGTGTGTTTTGGAGGTATTATAACACACTGTTTAAGACCGGTTTGAGTCTGGATGGGCGATAATTACCCGAGGCGAAGCCGAGCTAAATTATCGCCCATCCAGACTCAAACCGGTCTTAAATAGAGTGTTATAATACCTCCAAAACACACATTTATTCCCATTCATAAATACCTTTTCGGTCCAAAAAAAAAAAAATGTCAAAAACTAGACGTTGCCAACCATTTTGTTCAACAATTTTACATCATGTTTTACGAAACACCCCTCTGACTATAATATGGAATGCCCCTCCACAACTCGTTACCTATATAGGGACATTGGCGTCACTGGTATAGTATATTGTGCATGCATACGGGAGGAATTTGGACGTTCAACCAATGCATATATAAACAAAAAAAAATCGTCAACTGAATATGTATGAGGTATAGTAAAACAAATATAACATGGTTTATTTCGGGTGGAACCATTTTGTTCAACAATTTTACATCATGTTTTACGAAACACCCCTCTGACTATAATATGGAATGCCCCTCCACAACTCGTTACCTATATAGGGACATTGGCGTCACTGGTATAGCATATTGCGCATGCATACGGGAGGAATTTGGACGTTCAACCAATGCATATATAAACAAAAAAAAATCGTCAACTGAATATGTATGAGGTATAGTAAAACAAATATAACATGGTTTATTTCGGGTGGACAGTCGATATTAGCTTCCCTCGGTATTGGAAGTTGACAAACTAGTCCCCTCGGCTTCGCCTCGGGAACTAGTTTGTCAACCTCCAATACCTCGGGGAGCGAATATCGACTGTCCACCCTCAAATCATGTTATATTTGTATACTATCCGCCCATGGGAGTGGGAAATACTATTCAACAATTAGGATTATGACGCAGTATTTGTGTGAAAATGCATGCTGGTGTGCGCGTTCAGCGTTGCGCGTAGCGCGTATTGTTCCAAAGAGCCAGCGCTACAGCGTTGGGTTCAAACATTTTCATGAAAGGGTGGTTTGGAAGAGAGAAATACATTTTCCTGCAGTTTTGTATTGAAAAAAAGTTCAAATATATCAAATGACAAGGATCTATATGTCAGTTATATAAAACAAATATTGAGTGGCTTTAAGTTGTGAAATGGGAGGAATATTATAGCTCGGTAAAACCTGGACTTTTCCAGTTCACTCGGCTTCGCCTCGTGAAATGGAAAAGTCCAGATTTTACCTTGCGATAATATTCCTCCCATTCCACGCTGAGCCACTCAATATTTGTATACTTTATCATCCATTTAAGACCTGCCACGTGACGGGCTCTCGACCAATAGGAATGCGTAATTTGTCTGAGGTATTTATGAATTGGAGTTTTATCGCATTATTGCAATTTCTTATTTTAGTTTTGAAGTAGAAACATAGAAACATTGGTAATTTATAAACTATAGTGCATGGCGCAATTAAAGTGATCTTAATGATGAAATTCACAATTGTTCGTAAATCATATTATTCATTTTAGTTCCTGTAAAAACAAATAATGTGTTTTTTATTATATGGATACATTGTGGCTAAAGGTAATTTTGTGATTATCGAAGAATCGTTGGCTCGTTCAAAAACTATGAACAAATCGGTTGTAAAGTATTGTTTAAGGAGCTCTTTGTGATTGCATTGTTAAATGGTACGACCCATTCTAAATATGCTTTTTATTAATCGTAAATGTACCCTTTTGCATCATGTTAAATCCGTGCACATTCATTACGTTTGCTGTATAGGCAAGTCCAGCGTCAAATGTTTGGTCAATATGAAAACTTCTTGGATCCAGACAATGATTCAGAGAAGTGTCATTTTGACTCCTCATTCGATTCTTGGTCTTCGCCAGTGTTTTCGTTATATTGTGTCTATTTTCAAAGGTCCATTTGTTATTATCTTTTCGTAACACTTGTCTGAATACTTTTTTTTTCCATATAATATTGCTTTTGATTATTCAATGCAGGCCACGTTGTTTGTCTTTGGCTTGTTTTTGGTGGTTGTGTTATTCAAAGTAATAATCAGCAATAAGTTATACATTTTATCTTTTCAAGCCCATGAAATTCATAGAAATGTTATTTGTGTATTTAATGCTTGTCTAAAAACATCACATAACAGTGACCCCATTGTATACGTCTTGACTTGTTTTAAGTAGGGTGTTATTAAATATTAAAATAATAAACAAGAATTGCATCAATCAGAATTAAACTGTTTCACGTCCGGTACGCTGACTGTCCATGCAATGAGTTATATTCTTTTCAAGGCGAAAACCCATAATTTAATAGAACTGTTATTACTTCACCGACTATGTCCTGATCTAATCATTAATATATTGTGAAACAACATCATCCCAAGTGGTTATTTTATTTTCAACCCTGCTTCCAATAGTATCCCCTATGGATGGAAACTCGCTTTCGTTCGTTATCAGCCAGCGATTAAGCCTACATAGCAACTGTTAGATAAACCTAGATTTGTTTGCAACTGGGTCGAAAAAAAATCACATTTCGTGATTAGATGTGAAAAATGTCAGGGAAAAGGACAGATTTTAGTTAATCTCTTAAAAACTCAAGTATTAACTATAACAAGAATGACTTCCTGTTTACAAGGTGGTTTTATTTCTGTGTATCTGAAAATCAAATGTGAAACCGTATATTTGAAATAAATACATATTCGGTAATACATTTTTCTTTACAAAAAAAAAATCAAATCTTAACTTTGCGACATAATTTTACTTAAAAGATATTGAACTCAAATGAGGTCTGGCAAAGAGGTTTAGCGTGTGTTATTGCCACAAATTAAAGGTGATCTGGAAGTGTATAATGTTGTTCTTTTCGACAATTTGGGTAAGTACATCACTTACCCTTTAATTTGAGACATCTGTTCTTTCATTTTTTGATAATGCACATATCCCAACCTGAGACTACCGGTTGAGGTCATCGTAAAGTCTGCTTTGTTTTAAAATGCGCCAGAGAGATAGTACAACATTACCAATGCAAATTGCCGGAATTCCATGTTATTATCATACTAATTAATACGATTAGAGGAGGTATTGTAAGGGTTTGTTCCTAAATATGCGGATGAAGATTTACATAAGACTCTAATTAATTGCTTGTTTTAATGAATAATGTTACAAAATGCTGTTCTCTTACATCGATAACATAGATTTATTATGGGATCGCATACAGCAACGGTTTTTATATAATTTCTACATGTGCAGCTGCTCAATCCTCACATATCTTGTGCAACACTCGTCGGAGTTTCTGAAGTAAAAACTGAATGGTAGGCCTATAGACAAACGCTAGTAACGCCGTTTACATCTTGCAGTAGGACAAAATATGTTTATAATATTATTAATAATACTGTTTAAAACAACTCTTTAATCATTGTGTAAGAATCTACTCAACATTCGCCACTTAAATCGACAATAATATTATTTCCATACAGATACCGAGATAAAGGTAGAGAAATCCAACCTCTTACACATTTAAGCGGTGTAAGTTGGCTTATTTTCAAGTGCACCATTTCTAACAACGTAGCCAATTTCTTAGCCAACTTATTCTTATTTCAAAAACATAGATTACATCATGGCTCAAAGTTTTATGACTGCGATGAAAATGTTCCATGACCGTTTGCTGTGCAGTAGCCATAGTCGAGAATCTCCTTGTCATTGCAGTGTTTGCTGGAACTAAAAACACCCGGTGGTCAGTGTTGCAGAAATACAAATCGAAGACGTGTTTTGGGAGAGTGCGCGCACACACTGCGCATGCGTGCGTGCACTCTCCAAAAGCACGTAAATATTCGTTTTCACGAACTGACACTCTCTAACGCTATTGCATGCGCGCACTCTCCGAAAACACGCACATTTTGGTTTTCACGAACTGACACCCTGTGCAGAGTCACTTCGTGGTAACAAAAAACACAAGAATTGACCAATTTCTTGAAAATTCATTATTAAAATCTGCTTATTTTAGATGATTTTAGCAATTTTAACTTCGTCATGTTAAACTTCATGATACAAACTGCTAATATCGGCAAAAAAAAATAAAATTTGATTTTTTTTTTTTTGTACACATGTTATGCAGATGGTGTCAGTTCGTGGTGTCGGTGACGAATTGCCCAAATAATAAATCACTAACCGATAACGTAAAACAAATTGACCGATAGTGTAGTAGAAAGTACACTATCAATCAATTGTTGTTACATTATCGTTCCTTCCGATAATGTGACAAAACATGACTGATAGTGTAGCAACATGACTGATAATGTAGTAACATTTACTACACTATCAGGTAGTACACGACGTTAGGCAATCGTCCAGCAAATGCTGAAAGAGTGCAAAATCAATACTCTAGATTTTAGCAAATGCTAAGAGTTTGGTAAAAGCAATTACTTCCCCTTATGGTTCGTCATTAATTAATAATACATAAAGTAACAAATAATCATTGGAATCATGTGGCGTTAAGAATTATCTATTCTCAGTTCATTTACTATTAACTTTTGAAGTACTTAGCATCAATAAAGTATTCTATATACATCGATATTGCTGAACTGCTCCTTCAACTGTGGACAGTGAAACTGGATGACATTAATTTAAAAGCAACCACTGATTTGTTTTACGTACAAAAGAAGAGCTACCTTTTATGCACATTCACTATGTATTTTAAGGCACGTTGGAACATTCACCCCAGCAAATCCCAGGTCTGAGATTTGACCAAGAGACCGGGTCCTATTTGACCTGTTCATGGTTAAAGGTACAGTCCATCATTTGCAGCTATCCAAAAAGTAACTGACGTAAATATTATTGAAAAGCTTACTTGGTTTAAAGATAGTAAGGGAACTAAACTCCCTGTGAAATTATTCCTTCTGACATGCTGTCGTTTAGAAGAAATACATAAAAGAAGGCCTTTCCAACGATGCGTCTAAAGACGCATCGTTGGAAATGTCCGTTAGTAGTTGCGTTGACACGATGCACACACGCGCGGTTCAGTGCGCGACATCGCATAAAGCTGCAATCGGATCAGTGAAAACGTGTCTCGGACACTGAGTTCAGGCCCAATTCAAAACATGACTCGAAACTTTTGATTTGAAATCGAGATCCTAGAATATTGTTGTTTTTTTCGAAATGTACAGCACTCACTGAGCTGAAACTTAATCAGGTTGGTTGTTCAGCAATATTCTTTAAATTTTGAGCACTTTCATTTTGTTGCTCAAAACGAACAATTACAACTGATGGACGCTACCTTTATTATGAAACTTGTCCGGGTCTAAATGACACAGAAAATAATCCAAATAAGTGTCATTGTGACTCCTCATTTAATAATGGATTTCATCTAGTCATTCATTTCATTGTGTATTTGAACTGTTCCTATGCTATAATATGTTCGTATGGTAACTGTTGTTAAGGCTTAGTGCTGATAATCTAGTTTTGTTTTTCTAATGCGTTTTTTGGGTGGTGGTGTCATTAAAATAATAAGCAAGAATTGAATTAAACTGAATTGAACCGTACCACGTCTGGTACGCTGACTCTATCTGCAATCAGTTATAAATCAGTTATTATATTTTCAATGCAAAAAAATACATACATTTGTTAGTTAACAACTGACTAGTGTGATGTGGGATATGACGTTTTTAACACCCGAAGGGCGCAGAACACCCAAGGTGAAGCTATTCGTCCGAGGGCCAAAAACGTCATATCCAACACCACACCACAATTATTGTGTTTATCGTGCCAACAACTTAAAATGACAAGTGTTTGTAACTTACTGTGTGAAAAATAAATTAAAGCACTGCGATGTAACCTTTGATAACTGAAGGTTTTGATGTCCTGGCGGACATGAGACTGAGCGTTTGATGTTGCAGTTCTCATTGCCCAAAGCGCGCAATAAACGCACTGCGATATCACCCTCAGGGTGAGACATGCACTTTTATTTACCAGACACGTGGCCGTCTTAGACCAATGAAATTACAGCATCCAAGCCCATGATATAACAATATATTTGTTTACCGATTAAGTCCTTATCTAATATCATTACAATGTGACACAAACTCATCCCGCGGGTTATTTTATTATAAACCTCGTTCTCAATAGTAACCCCTGGTTTGGGAACTTGCTTTCTGTATGCTGATTCGATACAGCAATAACAAGTAATGGATTAATCTTGTTGCCTATTTGTGTTTTTATTTCCAATTTGTATGCCGTATTTTAACATTCACTGTGGCATTCCTCTAGCATTTTGCTTGTAGTAGTATGTAATGTGATACTGCATATACTGGCTGGATAGGACTGTGACAGAAAACAAATTGTGTTTTCGGATCCCACGTCGCGACGATTTGATTCTGTTTCTACCCCGGAAACTGCACACAAAAATAAACGCTGATTTAAAGCATAGCCAGGCACCAGCTTAGTTCTAATTTGCATACGCGTATTTGCAAGATGTTTGAACATGCCAATGATCCAATATCAGGGTTATTGAGATGGTAGTGGTGGTAGCGTACTGCTCGACACCATGGAAACGAGTTTCATAAATTGTGACAGAGATCGTTCCAGCTTAGACACTCAGTATTAAGTACTAAGTTTATAAGTGACGCTATATAGGCCTACCGGTCCTTTCGGAGGGAATGCTACAGATTTTCCAGGGCACTGAGAAAATCACTTTAAAATATCGACAAAATTGTATCACCCTCATTCCCCTTCACCACATAAGTGAGGTTAGATTATATTTTAAATCAATTTTGAACTGTCCATCATCAAAGAAGAATTGCAATTTTATACTTAATATTTGCATCACATGCACAATGTACCGCCGTTGTTGCATTTTTACAATCAGTGATAAGAGTTACCTCTTACTTTTGTGGGAACTGTTATTTAATTATTAAGTGGCTGATTACATCGATTCTCCTTGAACATTATACCGAGATCCGCCATTAAGCATTCAACATTCGGCGTCTCTTTTTTATGTTTCTCCACACTGATTTTGGTCGGTGGCCGACAAATGTCAAAAAACGTTTACAAAAACAAGTCATAGGCAATGATTCCTGTCCAAGCAATACCTTCGTTTCCCCGCTCGTATTTTTAATTTGTACGCTTTAATTTGTACTTATTTCCAGTATTTTAGGTTTTAAATAATTGCAATCGAGTTTTCTTTTTAAAATTATTTTAATCACTAAGGATATTGTATTTTTTCACCAATACATACAAAGACAACACCGGATCAATATTGCAAGTTGCAATATGTCTCGCATGCCTCCTTAGTCGGGGTTTTGTCAGGAATCGGCGGAAGAGGAGCATTACGACGGGGCAAATCAGCGTAGCTGTTAATAATGGCATCGTCGAGGATTGTTTCCTGGTATGCCAGCTCCGATGAGGGTAGGGCGCCCTCTCCAGGAATGGTACAACTGAGCACGGTAGCATCGCGTCTGTTCTGAACGGGATGATCCCGTGGTGTTCGCCTGCTAACAGGAAAGAAATTCAGTTCAGTCGTCAAAGCAACAATGTTCAAGACAAATCGGAAAATATTCGCTACGTGGCAACCCGTGGTCCAATTTTTATGCGTTTGGTACCAACAGATGCGCAAGGCTCCAGGCTAACAGCTCGGTTAGGGAAAACAATTCTTTAAGGCTATTGCGGAAAAAGTTGGGAAGGGGCGGATTCCGCCCAGGCCCTTTCATAGGGTTAAAACCTTACCGTTTTATCGCGAAAAGAGCAACAAAGAAAATGATAATGAAGATCACACCACCCGCTCCTCCGCCGATAATCTGTACCACTGGCATGGAAAATCTTGCTGGGGCAGCCTTAACTGAAAGAAATAATAAGATCTTTTCCATTAACCCTAAAAGGACTGGGCTATTCTTATAATCTCTCAGCTGGGGGGGGGGGATTCTGCACCCCCTAAGATCTCGGCCATCGAGAAACAAAAAAAATCAAACTCGGTACATGCATACAACACCTTTTCATGAACATACCCAAGAAATTTGGTCAAAGGGTTTTGGAATCATGGCTAATCAATTATTCATATGCATGAATGGTAATTAACCTTTGTGTACACTACGTATATTGGGAAATTCAGTTTTCCTGCGCGCGTAACGCCGGAAAAATTTTCGCTGCGCGACAACCCGTTGTCCGATTTTAATGTTTTTCGTATAAAAAAAACCCGCGCAAGTCTTGAGTCTAATAAGTCAGAACAGCTTGGGTCGCGAAAGAAAATTAGTTTTAAAGCTATCCCGGAAAAAAAATGAGGGGCCGGATACCGCCCCGCCCCCTTTAGGGTTTAACAATGTGTTTTTCTGCAATGTTTCTTTTGGAGGATTAAGAAATTATTAATCCTTATGAGACACACTAACGTCTCATCGTGTCGCTTGTTTCATTCTTATTCATTTTGGTCAAGACCTCGGCCTTTAATAAAATAACAGTTGACCTTTAATGCATTCAGCGATAAAGTGTCATCAGACTGGAAAAACCAGTCGTCCGTCCAACTTGAAAAACCTTTTGGCGAATCGGTTTGTTTTCTGATCTTGTGTTTTATAATTCAGAAATGAAAGGTACAACAATTATTATCAGTGGAAACTTGGCTGAATGTAGAATCAAATAATTATCAAAGAATGCGTGTTTAAATTGTGTAGGAAACATGAACATTTTAATTCTGGTAATTGCCTTTCCGCAATGTAGTTATATGAGCTCTCTTTGCTCAGTCCTGTCATAGAGTTTGAGAAAGAAATGAAAAATCTCACTCAGGTAAGATAATGTGTGTTTTTTTCTACACAGTTGTGCACGTCAAATCACTGACGAATAACTGCAAACTACATCAGTTCGTCACAATGACGTAATTCAGAAGACAATCAAAAACTGATTGCATACCAAAAAAAATTGGTCATTGAAAACAGCACATATTGTGGAAGATAAGAATTAAAAGTTTGGTTCTGGGGATTGAAGCTGTCTGAAAAATTAGTCTCTTTTCAGTATTTCAAAAATGTTTATTTTTACTTTATTATTTAGAAATGTGGAAAAGGGGGAGAAGGGGAGGTGATGTTATTACAAGTGCCGATTCTGAAGTGCTGGAGTTGCCCAACTCCACTGCTAATGACAAACAGTCAAACCTTTTGCAAAATGAGATAGGTAAAAGCATGCGCCTTGCTCTTTGCAATCCAAGTTTGTTTTATCTTTTTTAAAGCTTTCCAGCTACTTCAAAGAAATACACTTATTTGAAATCTTCACCTTGATTGCATACGGCAACCGGGGAAGACCACGTGAAGTCTGATCGACAATATCTTGTAGTGGACCCGCTGAGATGATATCCGTCAGGGCAGGCATATTCGACTGAGTCACCAGGAAGGTACACAGTCCGATTGCCGGACACCACGATGGGGACATCGGATGAGTTGAAGATCAGCTCGCAGTTGGCAACTGAAGATACAAAATTCACAATAATACTCTCAGGAATTTATCTTTATGTTACTTTATCACAAAGAAACAAACATCAAACAAACAAACAAGCAAACAGTATAGATCATGTAAATTACATTTGTAATTTTTAAAATGAACTTAACCATTTTGCACGCTATATCGTTGTATGCAAACTAAACTGATATTTGTTCCTATTTTGAATACGCACGACTGTGATGGTTGCTTTGGAACGTAGTCGAACGTCCCCACAATCAAAGAAACAGTTGCAACCGACTAACCTTAAATAGTGCGGTGAGTACATGTAATTGTAAAAACCTAATAACACGAGTACTGAAGTGACTGTTTCACCATTTTCGCAGGGTTAACCCTAAAAGGGCCTGTCTATTTTGATCATCTCTCAGCCGTGGGGGGGGGGGGGGATTCCGCTCACCCCCCTTAAGATCTGGGCCATCGAGAGACAACACATTTTGAAACTCGGTACGTGCATAGAACAACTTTTCATGAACATACCCAAGAAATTTCATGACTACACGTTAAAGGGTGCTGGAATTATGGCCAATTAATTATTCATATGCATGAATGGTAATAAACCTCAGTGTACACTACGTTTCATATGCATGAATGGTAATAAACCTCAGTGTACACTACGTACTACGAAGGATTTTTATGTTTTTGGTATCAAAAGATGCGCAAGGCTCGCAGCTAAAAAGTCAGAACAGCTTGGGTCGCGAAAGAAAATTGTGTTTTAAAGCTGTCCCGGCAAAAATTGAGGAGCCGGATACCGCCCCCGGCCCCTTTAAGGTTAACAATGTGTTTTTCTGCAATGTTTCTTTTTGGAGCATTAAGAAACTATTAATCCTTAGGAGACACACAGACGTCTCATCCTGTCGCCTGTATCATCCTTTTTATTTTTGATCAAGACGTTGGCTTTTATTAAAAGAACAGTTAACTTTTATTGCATTCAGCAATAAAGTTTCGTCAGACTTTAAAAACCAGTCGTCCAACTTGAAAAACCTTATGGCGAATCAGTTTGTTTTGTGATCTTGTGTTTCATAATTCAGAAATTATGGGGGAGTCAGGTTGGCGTAGCGGTACTTTCCTCGCCTTCCACCGCTGTGACCCGGGTTCGAATCCGTCCTGGGCCAATATGTGGATTGGGTTTTCAGCCCATGCCTGATTCCGTGGGTTTTCCCCAGAATATTGTCCTGGGCTTTTCCTCCCACCTCTAAAACTGTAACTTCTTCTCATTGTCTTCCTCCACAGGTTGCTTCAGGCTTGCGAGCTACAGTGCCCAGGGCGCTTTTGAGGAATCCTTGGTTTCATTACCAGAAATGATTAATAATAATAATAACTAGAAATTGTGGTTGTGAACAACCACAGAGCTGTTCCCAATATTGATTATCTGTTGGACCCATAGACAAACCGCATTATGATTTGTTTTTATCAATAATACGTCCCTGACTATGCATGAACATAAAATCTGTCAAAGTTAGCCGGAAATCGGCTAAAACGGTCACTGTGGACAGGATTTGACCTAAGCGACACGTGCGCTGTGCGCAGGCTGACTGACATACGATATGTACAACGTACGTGCATGTACATGTACATGTACTGTACATTGTGGACGTCCTGTGCATATTTCAAAGCAGAGGTATTGTCAATCCGAAGTTTTAAGCGTGCGCAGGGCATGTCCGAGTTTGCTTATTGCCTCAGAGCTTTCAAATGTTTTAGACCTACCCTTCAATCGACAATTAAAGTAAAAACTAATATAAAAACTGCCATGGTTGATTTTTCAGGAATTTTCTGAGGAAAAAGGGTCTTTTCATTATAACTTCCGGTCTGATGACGTCATACACCTTAAACTTCGCACAAGTCTTAAGTGGGTCAAGGTCATCATACACACCAATATTTAGGTGATTCCGACAAACTTCGCCACAGACATCTATTCGAAATACATTTTTAAAAATTTTTAACCTGTCGCTAGAGGGCGCTCGAAGATTGCATGACGTCATCGGTAAATGATTTGAAGAATACTATCAGCCAAGAGACTAACACCGTTGAAAGCAAGTTCATATCTATTACCACTTTTAAATAATAAGCCACTTCCGGTTTTGGCCTTTTTCGACCGGAAGCAAGGGTCACGTGATTTCACGCACACTGAATGAAATAAAGACTTGAACCTACTCTACCACTTGCCGGCAACAGAATGCTGCGGACGCGTACGGTTGATTTCTTATGCATTTTTAAATATTAAAAGTGTTACTATTCAATTGCCTATAAATAAACACCGGATGACGTCATCATGACGTCATCATTACACAACGTTGTTTGAATCAGGGTCTTTGCTTGGACAAAGATTGGTGTAAATGAATTACTGGCAACGAGTCGAAAATGCCCTCTGAAAATTGACATTTTTAAAAAAAATTCTGTGTACAAAGTCTATGGGAAAAATTAAATATTCAAAATTCCATAATAAATCACGTGATGACGTCAGCATGACGAAAAGTTTCGGCACACATCCTCAGATGATGATTAATAACTATGCTGAGTTTAAAGTTGATCGGATTTAAAATAATTGCCAAAGTGGCTTGTAGAATAAAAACGTGTACAAAACCTATGGGGAAAGCGGAAAAAGAAAAAAAAAAACTAGAAATGTGTTTGTGGACAAACACTGAGCTGTTTCGAACGTTTTATTAATGACTGCCGTATTAGTTTCATCCAGGTTGAATGAACATGTACATGCATATTCTATACAAAAAGTGTCCATCCTATGTAAAGAAAAACAAAAAACATTTTTCATGACGTCATGATGACGGCACACATTTTTGAAATTTTCTGTATCTATCTACGATCTAACAAACCTTTTGCAAAAAAGAATTTCGAATTAACCACGTTCCATTGATGAGATATGAGTAAAAGGTCCAAAAATTGAAGAATGCATATAAAATCACATGATGACGTCATCGTGACGTCACTGCAATTTTTGTCTATAACGCTTCCTGGAATATCTGTATATCGAGATTGAACCCAATCGGACCACAGGTTCTCTGGATATAGTGACTTAAACTATGCAGTTTTAGGATGACGTCATGTGACACGTGATGACGTCATAATGACGTCATGATTCGGCATACATATTCAGATGGTTGTATAAGTGTGTGCCGGGTTTGAAGTCGATCGGACCGTATTTTATATAATTTTTGCAAAATTTGAAGAAAATATTAAAATTTGAAAAATTCATAAAAAATCAGATGATGACGTCATGATGACGTCACTTCAGATTTCGAATGCTGTTATCTATACCTACCTACCCACCAAGTTTCATAAAGATCGGACAAACCCTTATATGTGAATCAAAAAATCACGTTTTTGATGACGTCATCATGACGTCACACATTTTACAAACTTTTGTGCATCTATCTATGACCTAACAAACCTGTTACAAAAAGAATTTCGAATTTACCACATTCCGTTTATGAGATATGAGTAAAAGGTCCAAAAATTGAATAATTTATATAAAATCACACGATGACGTCATCATGACGTCACTGCAATTTTCGTCTATAACACGTCCCGGAATACTTGCATACCAAGTTTGAACTATATCGGACTTCCGGTTCTGTAGATATAGGGCCTTAAAGTATGCTCTTTTAGGATGACGTCACGTGACATGTGATGACGTCAGCATGACGAAAAGTTTCGGCATACATCTTCAGATGGTGGTCTAAATGTGTGCCAGGTTTGAAGTCGATCGGAATTGAAAAAAGTCCAAAAGTGCGTTGTAGAACGAAAACACGTGTTATCCTATGGGAAAAAAAGTGGAAGAAAAAAAAAGAGAAAACTAGAAATGTGTTTGTGGACAAACACTGAGCTGTTTCGACCGTTTTATTAATGACTGCCGTAAAGGAGTTTCATCCAGGTCGAATGAACATGTACATGCGTATTCTATACAAAAAGTGTCCATCTTATGTAAAAACAAACAAACATTTTTTATGACGTCATGATGACGGCACACATTTAAAAAAAAAATTCTGTAACTATTTACGACCTTACAAACTTTTTGCAAAAAAGAATTTCGAATTAACCACGTTCCATTGGTGAGATATGAGTAAAAGGTCCAAAAATTGAATAATTCATATAAAATCACATGATGACGTCATCGTGACGTCACTGCAATTTTTGTCTATAACACTTCCTGGAATATCTGCATACCGAGATTGAACCCAATCGGACCTCAGGTTCTCTAGATATAGTGACTTAAACTATGCAGATTTAGGATGATGTCAAGTGACACGTGATGACGTCATGATGCCGTCATGATTCGACCTGAATCTTCAGATGGTGGTCTAAGTGTGTGCCAGGTTTGAAGTCGATCGGACCGTATTTTATACATTTTTTGCAAAATTTGAAGAAAATATTAAAATTTGAAAAATTCATAAAAAATCAGATGATGACGTCATGATGACGTCACTTCAGATTTTGAATGCTGTTATCTATACCAACCTACCCACCAAGTTTCATAACGATCGGACATACCCTTATATGTGAATTAAAAAATCACGTTTTTGATGACGTCATGATGACGTCACACATTTTACGAAATTTTGTGCATCTATCTATGACCTAACAAACCTGTTACAAAAAGAATTTCGATTTTACCACATTCCGTTTATGAGATATGAGTAAAAGGTCCAAAAATTGAATAATTCATATAAAATCACATGATGACGTCATCATGACGTCACTGCAATTTTCGTCTATAACACGTCCCGGAATACTTGCATACCAAGTTTGAACCAAATCGGACTTCCGGTTCTGTAGATATAGGGCCTTAAAGTATGCTCTTTGAGGATGACGTCACGTGACACGTGATGACGTCAGCATGACGAAAAGTTTCGGCATACATCTTCAGATGGTGGTCTAAATGTGTGCCAGGTTTGAAGTCGATCGGATTTGAAAAAAGTCCAAAAGTGCGTTGTAGAACGAAAACACGTGTTATCCTATGGGAAAAAAAGTGGAAGAAAAAAAAAGAGAAACTAGAGGTCTATGTCTGTTTGCAACAGAACATAGGGCTTTTCCGCATTATGATTTTTTTTAATCAATAATATGCCCTGAATATGCATGAACATAAAATCTGTCAAAGTTAGCCGAAAAATCGGCTAAAACGGTCACTGTGGCCAGGATTTGACCTCTGATATTCTGACTCTTGAGAATATTTTCAATCAAATGGCAAACGATAAAAAAATACGATTTCTTTTTCCTTCTCATAGTAATTCTCGGCTGAAGTTCAGAACTACTCAGTAAGATATATCAGTGTTGTATAGGAAAAGACTTATAGAGAAAGCAGTGTACATAGTCTATGAGAAAAATTAATTATTCATGAATCCATAATAAATCACTTGATGATGACGTCATCATGATGTCATAGTCTTGGCATAATTTTTGTATGAGGCTCTTCCTTGGCTGTAACTTTGATGCCGATTCCAGATCGCCAAGTTATGAAAATGGTGGCTTGAAAACGTGTACAATGTCAATAGGTTAAAAATCCCACAGCAGAAAAACTGGACCTTTAAATACGTGATTTTCCTTTCAACTGAAACATTTTTATAAAATATTACTTGCTATTCTAACTCTTGGGAATATTTTCAATCAAATGACAGGCGTGAAAAAATACGATTTCTTTTTCCTTCTCATAGTAATTCTCAGCCGAAGTTCAGAACTACTCAGTAAGATATATCAGTGTTGTATAGGGAAAGACTTGTGGAGAAAGCTGTGTACAAAGTCTATGAGAAAAATTAATTATTCATAAATCCATAATAAATCACTTGATGACGTCACTCTTCGAGACACATCTTGGCTATAGGGACTATGCTTATGCCAACT